GATGTTTCTATGCTTTGTTTAAGGCAGGGGTGAGCAAGTGTGGGAGGTAAGGGCCACATTAGGCCCCCTGGAAATTTGGAAGGTGGTGCCACCTCCATACTCCCCCTGCAAAAAACAAAAACAAAACTTTTTTTTGCCCCAAATGCCCTCTAGGGAATATGCGGGCATTTTTGCCATGTGTTTGGGCTCCCTGACTCAGGAGAGACTTTTTAGTAATAGGAAGCGACCAAAATAATAAAAATAAAATAAAATAAAGTCCTGATTTGGGGGGATTGCCCTGACAGCTCCTAGAGGGCATTTGAAGACATTTATGGGCAATTTTTCTACTCCTGGCGGCCCTGAAGGTTGCACACAACTGTAGGCTGGACTCTATCCAATTGTAGGTCTTAATAAAGAGATCAGACTCTTGACTTGATCAGTCACAGTACCAAAGAGCCAATGGACGATGGATGGGCTCATGCCAACTGGCACAATCTGTGGCAGGGCATCTCTCCATCCCATGTGGGATTCTCCTGTGAAACACCTGCTCACCTCTTGTTCCAGGTGTCCGGACTCCTGTTGTCTCAGTAAGAAGTCTTCCGCCAAGGCCACCGCCTGGTCGCAGGTCTGAGGGCAACCTCCCTTGACCCAGCTCTGGATTTCCAAGGGAAGGATGGCCAGGAACTGCTCCAGGATCACCAGCTCCAAGATCTGCTCCTTGGTGTGTCTCTCTGGCTTCAGCCAACGGTGGCAAAGATACCAGAGGCGACTGCAGGCTTCGCGGGGGCCCTCGGCCTCCTGGTAACGAAATTCCCGGAAGAGGGTCCGCTGCACATCCATGGTGACCGAGTCTTCCTTGAGGAGATCTTCCCTTCCTTTCCAATAGTCCTCCATCATTGTGCCTTCCATTTTTGTGAAGTCCGCTAGACTTTCTCCACTGGGATCTGACAACCCTCCGGGCTTAGGACAAGCATTAGGTGCTCCTTCAATGGAAGCGAGGAGAACTTTTGCATTTTCCCATGGTGGAGAGCCTGATAGCTGTGATTTCCCCCATTTGGAGTGAGAAGACAGTGTCTCTTTCAGGATCTGGTACGATTCTAAAGGTTTCAACTCCCTCTCACCTGATTCATCCATAACTTCTTCAAGATCTTCCCTTTTCAGAAAGCTTTTGTCTTCCATAGCCTTCAATTCAGGAGTGAGTCCTCTTTCCAATGCCGCTCCAGATTTGAGATCCACTTGGTCTCTTTCCTCCTCTCTGATCTTTATCCCATGTTGCAACAGAGATTTGAATGGGAGACTCACCTCTGGCGTTCTTCCCTTCTTGGCCGCCATTTTGTGTCCTAGGTCAGCTGCAGCTCAGCATGGGATTTCGTGGGAACAACCTATATTTGGTTGGAGGGATCCCCAAAATGTTGCAGCCCCTGACTACGTGCCCATGTGCAGGTTGGCCTCACAAGATCCACAAATCATTTTGAATGGTTTCGGAGAGCAGGAATCTCAAGACAAATGAGCATTTCACACTGCTGTGGAGGTCTTGCCCTAATTTTTGAAAAAGAAAAGGACAAAAAGAAGATATTCAAAGACAGGAAAATAAAACCACATAGACATTTATTGATTTTACTGCATTTTTACCAAGGGCTGTGGAGGTGGTACACCAAACCTTCACCTCTGACTCCAATCTCTTTATTTATTTCTTTTACTATCCAACTTAACTTTTGTGTATTTTTATGTGATTTTATATTGTGTGTAGAGGATTTTAATTGTTTTGAATTTTACTGAGATTTTAAAAATCTGTGAGCCGCCTTGGGTCCCCCTTGGGGAAATAAAATTAATTAATTAATAAAAATTAATAAAAATAAAAAGGTAATGGTAAAGGTAGTCCCTTGACATGAATGTCTAGTCGTAAGATTATACTTCTTCATAAATGGCAAATGTATATTAATCAGTATTTTTATTTTAGTAAAATGATACTACCACGAATGATCAGGACACTTATATTGACAGAAAAATCAAATATTTTTATTTGTTTACATTTTTTGAACACGGAAACTTTGTTAAATGTCTACGACAGCAAACATACTCGGTGTATCATACATTTGTAAAAGTTTTAACGGGAACTTTGTTACAATATTATAAGTTTTGATTTTGAAGCCAGAGTCAGAGTTGGTACAAATGCGGCAATTCCCATGGCATACCCTAAAAGCATCAGGTCTGATCATAGAAACTAAGCAGGGCAAGCTCTGGTTAGTACTTGGGTGGGAGCCCACCAATGAATACCAGGTGATGTAGGCTATATTTCAGAGGAAGGAAGTGGCAAAACCACCTCTGAGGGTTCGTTGCCTAAGAAAACCCTATGAAATAGATGGGGTCACCATAAATCAATGAGTGACTTGAAGGCACATACGCACACAATAGGAACGAATCCTGTCTGAAACCCCAGAAAGACATTGCTGTCATCCGCATTAGTAAAAACAACAAAACTATTACAGTGAGCTCTTGGTATCCACTGGGGTTTGGTTCCAGGACGCCTAACGGATACAAAAATCTGTGGACGAACAAGTCCCATTAAATTATTATTATTATTATTATTATTATTATTATTATTATTATTATTATTATTTATATACCGCCCAATGGTTGCCCAATCCGGGCGGTTTACAATATTAAACGCAATGGCGTTGCAAAAATGGTGTCTCTCTCATAAAAAATGACAAACTCAAGGACTGCTGTTTGAAATTTGTAATTTTCAAAAATATTTGCAAAAGCCGTGGATTGAAAAAGGCGGTTCAGTCTGCAGATAAAGAATTCACGGATACGGAGGTCCGACTGTACTTTCCTGATGTTATTAGAAACGGTACCAAAAACTGTGGGTGCTCAAGTCCCATAGCAAAATGGTGTCCCTTATATAAAATAGTGTTAGGGTTTGCTTTGCTTTGGGAGATTTTTGCTTTGGGAGATTTTTTTTCTTTTTTCGTGGGGGGATATTTTAAAGCTGTGGATGGTTGAATTTGTGGAGGCAGAATCTGTGGATACAGAAGACTGGCTGTAGTCTCTAAAATTAAATGTTTATACTATTTATTCTTCAGCTTGGATCGATGGGTCTCTAGAGCTTTCTAGTCACAATATGGTGC